CCCCCGGTTGCTTGCCCTTGCCTCTCCACCCCTTTCTCAGCCACCTTGGTACCAATCGTCGTGCCCAATGGCCACCTCGCCACCCTTCCCAGAAAACCACGGCATCACTGCATCCCCCAGCAGCCCCCTTCCCTGGCTCCCCCCCGGGAGGGCTCTTTGCAGAAGGGACATCGCTGCTGCCAGCTCTGGGAGGATCAGGAAACACCTACCTCTCACCAGCTCTGCCCTGCACACGTGACAGAGGTCTTCAGCGAGCAGGGGCCGGCGCCGGGAAGCACGTGCTCGCCTTCAAAAGCGACCAAGGGGAAGCTGGAAGATGAGAACGTCAGGAGCAGGCGGGATTTGAGACCTAGAAATTGCTTGGCTCGGTTTGCTCTGCACAAGGGTGGAGAATATCGCAGGGAGGGCTCAGCGCATGCCTTTCCCTGCGGTTAGAAATCGGTCACAGTGTGCGTTGGCAGGGTTGGGGTTTGGGTTGTTGGTTTTTTTGGTCTTTTTTTTTTTTATTAGCGCTGTTCGTGCTGCTAAATGCACTCCCGGCTAGGTCAGGGCCGTGTTCGCTGTGGCTGGCAGATTAATTTCAGCCCAATACACTCTGCAGCTCCGTTAAGTGAGAGTGCAGAAATCCTCCAAGCGCTCCCCAAGTGGATTCAAAGGTAGGATCCAGGCCTGACAGTGTAAATTATACAAGGGAACGAGCAAAGTGCTGTTGTCCCTGTCCCTTCCCTGTGGCTGAAGTAGGTCCCCGTCCTGCCACATGCTTAACCTGGGCTGATGAAGTCAACAAACCCAGCTGCACGTATAGGGTTACACGAGCGATTTCGCTTGAGCTGGAGAAGAGGCAAGCGAACGCAGAGCTCGCCGCAAGGGCCGTCAGGTGTAACGGGTCAGAGCCCAGCCTTCGCCGTAAATCCCGAGCGAGGAAACTACGGACAGATGGCACTAGGCTCAAAAATACTTCTGATGAATGTAAGGGAATACCAGAGATGTCCTCGCTGAGCAAACAAGTCTTAAGCACGTGGAGAATGAGCATGAAAATCCCATTAAAGAAAAAGCGCTGATATAGTCAAGAAAGGAATGAATATTTAAAACTCAACTGCCACACCCGAGACCTCAGATAATTCCAGATTAAGGTGTTGTGGTTCCAAAGGATCAAACTCATTGCTGATAGTCCTCGAGTTACCCTAAAATGTTTATCTGAGAACAGGCTGGCGGGAGGGAAACACACGGTTTTGCCCCAAAATCTCACTCTGGGCTTATGATACTTGTGCTGGAAAGCAGGTTTGTGCAGCAAGATGCTTGCACCACTCCCTTGTGCTGGAGGTTCCCGGCTTGCAGGGGCTGTAAACCACCACCTGAGACCAAAAGCAACGCAGAGGCGTTTGGGGCTGCTGTGGGTCGGTCAGTGGTGACTACAGCCTGGGGGGGAAACATCCCCCAGCCTCCCTGCAGCACTGAAAGGGGTGGCTTGGGCTACCTGGGGAGGCTGCAAGTGGCTAGCAACTGCAGGCAGTGAGGCTGACCCCGTGGTCGTGCAGCCTTGGACTTTGCTGCCATGGTGAGCTGTGCCAGTTTGCGTTGGGCAAGGATAGGAAATCCAGCCCCAAACCCTCTTCCACCTCAGGAGCGTGAGGCTCTGCCACTGGCGGAGGTGACCTCAGGTCTGCCGAGGGTGGGCTGCTCCCTGTGCCGTGGACAGAGGACGTGGGTAATTTGGGCTTGGACAGAGGGAGAGGAGCCCTTTTGACGTGTTTTGGTGTTGCAACCTTGTCCTTATCTTTGTACAAAGAGTCCGGCCGCTCTGTGCTCCTCTCCGAGCCCCCTTCTAAATCTGGGCCATGCTCATGTGTCCACCTCTTTTTTTAAGTGTGGGTTTTGGGTTTTTTTTTTCCTCCTTGTTTAATAGCCACACAGCTCAGATGGGCTCCTTTTGCGGGCATGATGAACGGGATGGATGCACCCATCAAGCAAACCCCAGGATGCTGCAGCCAGGCTGAACTGGGCTTCATCCTGCCAGACCTTCTGGAGTCTCCTCTTGGGGAGACACTGCATGGAAATGACCACTTGCATTCCCACCATAACTGTGCTGTCCTGTTCCTTTTCACAAACTTGGTCCTTTCCCAGCAGAAACCAGCACAGTCCTGCTGAGGTCAGTCCAGAGCTGAACGGGCACCAGCGGAGCTATGCCAGCAGCTGAGGACCTCACTGGGCATCGGCACAGTTGCCAATATATGTATTGGAAAATATATGTATTTGACAGTTGCAACATTTCCCTGAGAATTTTTGAGTCTTTCGTATGTGAGACAGCCACCATGCCAGCTCATCCCTAACCCCTCCTCGCATCTCTTGGGTTTAGCAGCACAAATCCTT